CCTGGGATGAAGGGAAGGACTCAGTCAGAGCTGAAAACACACCTGGGATGAAGGGAAGGACTCAGTCAGAGCTGAAAACACACCTGGGATGAAGGAAGGGCCACAGTGAGACTTCCTGGGGTGGGGACACCTCTCTGCAAATCCACGAGTGTCACAGGGTGTGCTGGGGACAGGAGCTCAGGGCACAGCCAGAGGTGCAAATCCCTCACCCTGCTTCACACCTTGATCTGTGACAACAAAGTGGGAGCTTAAAGGCAGCTCCAAGGGTTCTGCTGGAAGCATCTCCAAGGGCTGGGTGGCATTTCAGTCCCATCCAGCCAAAATGCCACTGCCAGGATGTCAAAAAACCCAGAGTTTCCCCCCCAAACTTGCTGTGTTTTAACCAAACTTCTTTATGTAGCTGCAAGGCACTGGAGATATTTAAAGCCCAGCAGCTGAATTTTTTAGTTCTGCATCCATTGGAGTTCAGCCATCAATAAGAAAGAAAAGGGAAAAGAAAAACTTGTGACCACAAGAGACTCTGTCAAATATTCCCCCTGCTGTCCTGGAGCATGGAAAAGCAATGCTGCTGAACACAGGTCTGACTATTTGCATTTTTAATAATTCAAGAGTTTAATTAGTATCATGCCCTTAATCAGAGGCTGAAAATACAGCTGAAGTCATCAGAGCTTAATTAGTTTGAAAAAAAAAAAAAAAGATTCTGCAGTGAAAATGTCTCGACTAACACAGAGCTCTGTCCTTAGCTTTGGGCTCCAGATGAGCTTTTACCTGTTGCTTTTTATTTTCAGTTCCAGCCCACCTCAGAGTAACTGAAAATCCTCAAATAAATCAGTTCACTTCCCTGTTTATCCCTATGAACTCTTCCACAGCTTTCTTGAACTGGACTTAGGTAAAAAAAAAAATCAGTTTGAAGATAATAAATTGAGTTAAACCAGGTGTATCCCATAAGCTGCATGTGAAATTCCCCTCTGCAGGAAATAAAACTGGTTTTAGAACATCCACAAGTGTCCCTGCATCTTCAGTCAAGTCAGCAGGAACACATTCCTGAGGGGATCACTGCATGGCCAGAAAAATCCCCTTTCAGCAGCAGGAGTGGGAGCTCAGACTGGTCCCAGTTGGTCACTGGGTGGTGAAGCCTGGGAGGTTTGGTCCTGCCTCATTTCTTGGGTGGTCTCAGGGGAGTTATCCCAGTTTGGGATGAGCAAATCCTAAACCCAGGCAGGAACCTTCCCTTCCCTTCCCTTCCCTTCCCTTCCCTTCCCTTCCCTTCCCTTCNCCTTCCCTTCCCTTCCCTTCCCTTCCCTGCCCTCCCTGGCAGTTGTTGGTGTTGTACAGGACATCCTGGATGGGCTTTCCCAACAACATTTCATTTAATGCTGGAATTCATCACTACCCAAGGCCGTGGAGACTGAATACATAACCAGGTTCCAAAATGGATTAGTGGAATTCATGGAAATTAAGCCAATCCCAGACGATTAAAGATGCTAATCCGGATGTAACTTCCAGTTCAGGAAGTCAGGCAGCCTCGTGCCCTTCCACCTCTGATTTATTGGGAAAAGGAAGCCAGAAAAAGTTCTCACCATGCCAGAACTGTCCCTTGGCTCCAAGCACTAGTGAGAATCACAGTAAATCCTTTTTTCTTGACACGTTTTTCTTCAGTAATGACATCACAGCCTGCTCTTCCTTTCCCTCTGCAGCTCCTGAACCTCTGGAGAACCTCCCAGCTCGCTGTCCCCTCAGGAATATCCCAAATAAATTGGTGAAACCTACTGGAAGGTGACAGCAATCACAGACAGCTCTAAATTCCATTTAGCATGGAATTAGGAATCCATACTTACATATCTAGGAAAGGTCTGCCTGCCTCAGACTGAAAAAATTTGGTTTTGGGAGCACTGGGCCAGAGGAAGATGGTGGAAATTGAAGATGGAAAAATGGAAGCTGGTTTGTCCACAAGGAAAGTTTCCTGTAGCCCCAGGACAGTTTGATTTATTCCTAACACTCCTGTGAGAGTTTATATATATATAAATAAATATAAAATGGGTTTATACATATAAATAAATGTATTTTATTCTGTGTCCTCATTCCCCTTTGAACCCTGCTCAGCTCCTGACCCAAGCAGCAGCTTTTGGCATGGATTTTCTGCTTACCTGCCACAGGAATTTCTCTCTGCCTGCTCCTGAAGGTGTTTAGGGGCTTTGCTGCAGAGCAGAGGACAAGATGACAAATGAGCCAGCACACAGCACAGGAATGTGAGTGAGTCTCAGCTATTTTTAATTAAGAAGCGATGACAGCTGACTAAATTCCCTGACACTGCAGTGAAAGGCTCCCTGACCCAGACATTATTGGCCACCCTCCGAAGGCCAATACACATCACTGCTATTATTGTCCCCCTGTCTGGGCAGATGCAGGGCTCACCAGAGCCAGCCTGCACATCCTGGCACCAACAGAGGATGCTGAGCAGCAGGTGAGGGAGGGCAGGACAGAGAAGGTCACCACTGCTCGCCTCCAATAAATGTTCTGAAGGTTTGGACAAATTCAGCTGCAATTTCCCCTTTTTGGTTGTTTAAACAGGTGATGGATTGAGCAGGGGAGAGGCAGAGAGGCAGAAAGAGCAATTGCTGCTGTAAGGCAGAGAAGGGGCAAGGCAGGATGGACTTTTCTCAGCCCAAGGGTCACAGGGAGGGTTTAACTGAGAAAGACCAAAGTGACCTGGATTTTGAAGGGTAGGGATTCACCTGGATTCATGTAAGGACTCTTGAGCAGAGATGGGAACACAGTCCAGGTGTCCAGCTCCCACTGGCACAAGAGACTGGCTGAGAAGTGGCTGTTTGAGCACCAGACAGCCCTGGAAAGGTGTCAAGGGGAAGACACCAACCTCAAAGAGAGAACACCAAACTTCCTTCCTGTTCTCAGGGCTCGCACAGCACCGAACCCAGCAGCTGATCCCTTTACCTTGAGCTCACTTGTTGGTTTGAGCAGGAGAGATAAAGAAAAGATTCCCTTCTGGCCTTTCCAGAGGGCCACAGGGAAGAGGGATGAGGCAGCAAAGTCACCCAGATCACGTACGAGCTTGGCATGAGCGAGACAAATACATTAAGGGACATCATCAGGAACTTTCCAGCCTGGCTGCAGGCTGGGAGGGGGCAGAGCTGCTCTGTGCTGTTGCTAAGACATCCCCCCCAGCCCTGCTGTCTCCAATCCAGGGCTTTCTCCTCCCATTGGCTCGCCAGCCACATCGAACCATCGTGACAGCTTTTCCTCCTCCTCCTCCTCCTCCTCCTCACCCTGCTGCCTTCTGCCTATGGCCTATTACCAGGGGAGAGCCAGCCAGACATGGAATCAATAGTTGGTGAGAGGGAACGGGGCTGTGCAGGGCTGCATTTGCATTCCAGCCCTGTCTGCCCCTGGCTCTGCGTTCCCAGCAGCAGGAAGGAGCCATGGCCGTGGCGTTGGTGCCTGCAGGGCCACAGCCAGCAGGACTCGAGGCCATCAGCATCCTGCCCGGGCACTGATCACAGCCAGCTTCTTCCCAGTAACCTGCCCGAACTGGTGTGCTGGTGTCCCAGCTTGAAATTAGGGAAAGTATCACTGCACCATAAGTGATGGATGCCCTCTCCAGTGAGATTTGAGGAAGTTTCTTGGTCTGGAGGGACCTGGAAGCCTTCTGGAGCAGGCAGAGAGAGTGGGAACACACCCCAAAGCCAGGGAAAGCTTCCCTGCCTGGACCAGGATGCTGGTGACCATCAGTGCTGCTCAGGCATGGCCAGGCTGCAGAAATTTGGGAACAGTGGCTCGTTCATCCAGGGAAATCCTGGTGGTGAGCAGTGAAACACAGCAGGGACAACTCATGGGTGCCACCCCAGAGCCCGTCAGGATTTGGGAGCAGGCACAGGGAAGGGTCAGAGGGCTTGGGACGGGTTTCCAGCTCCCAGCAAAACAGGCTGGAATTGACACTGGGCACCCACAAAACACCAACACCAAACACCCAAATATTGTCCCTGGCTTTGGAGCAAACTGGGAGACAGAACTGACTCAGTGGTGACAGAGAGCTGGGGCACAGAGAGGGGTGAGTGACTCAGAAAGCAAAGCCCAGCAGCTGATGGGCTGTCCCCAGGCACACTGGGACACCAGTGAAACGCCAGCCCTGTGGCTGCTCTCCTTCCCCACTCAGGTGAGTCAGCATCCGGACTAAGGAAGAAAAACTGGAGTTTCCTTTTCTGTCCAGGACAGCAAGAGGTCAATGAACCCAGCAGAGCCATCCATTGGATGGACACTGTCCCCTAAATACCAGATTTTTCCCATCCTGGATGTTCCCTTTGCTCCCTGTCCTTTATATTGCACAGTTAGGCAGAGTTGTAACCCAAACTGTTGTAAAATAACACAAATTGTTGATCAAGACAGGACAATTTCCTCAGGAAATTTCCACTGCTGAACCTATTTATTTATTTCAGGGGTGAGGGTGGCTGGACACAAAACACCAGGTCAGTTAAAAAAAAAAAAAGTCTGACCTGAATAGAGCATTTTTATTAAATCCCCAGGGATGATTTCTTTAATATAAGATGGAACTTGGAGTTGAAAGGAGGAGAGAGAAGAAAAGAGAGTGCATAAAAATCAAGTTCAAATCCCTGCTTGGCCTCACTTAGCAAAGAACTCTGAATTAGGTCTAAGTTACTTAAACAGCTTCAAATATTTTGGGATCTCTCTGCAGTTCCTATGATCTAAGTTTCATCCTGAGGCAGAACAGCAAGAATGTTCTGAGCTCCCCAAACCAGCCACGACTTTGGACAAATTCATTAAACACAGATTCAAAACAAAGCTGCTTTTTTTTTTTTTTTTTTTTTTTTGGAGTTTCTGCAATGTGGAGATTTCTGTGCTGTGGTTCCTCCCAGTCGTGTGCTCAGACTGGTGCAGAGCTCCATGGAAGAGAATTAATGGGCTGCAAGGAAAGCTACATTTATTTTTCTATCTCTGCACCATGTGAGGCTTTCCCTGTTACCTTTATGAAATTAAGCAAAACCCAGGATGATAAAATGAACTCAAATAAGAATTTCTACTGTGAGTTAAACCTGTTGTAGCTACTCAAGACAGACCCTCTGAATAAAGCTTTTTTGATCAATAAAAACCTTTTCAATAAAATGAAAGCTCTCAGAGTAATTTTAGGATGGAAAAGATTCCATCCCTGACAGCCTGGCTCCAAATTTTTCTCCTTCTTGTTGCTTCCTACAGGAACATTTACCTGGACATGTTAGATTTGCTGTAGTTGGAAAAAAAAAAATCAGATTCTTACCAGGAATATGGAAATATCCAGCAGAAGTCAGAGATGGCATGGAGCACCTGTAGTAACAGCAAGAAGATAAATATGAATATGAAGAATAATAGGATAGATATTGAAAATATCCATCTGATATGATGGATACCTGACAAGAAACCCCAACACAGCAGAGGGAAAATTGTGTCCATGGCTCTGTTTCCCTTGTCAGGATGGATCTGCCTCCAGCCCAGGGTTCCAGGATTCCACTTCCCACCTGCCTGGCACAGCTGATGGAGAACAAGGAGCCAAGAAACCTGAGAGCCACTCCTGAGCCAAGGACTGTTCCCAGATCCCTTCTGCTTTCAGATTCCCAGTTCAAAAAATAAAATCCCCAATGTATTCTTTTTCAGATCTTCCTTGCCTCAAGAGCCTTTGCAGTATCAGCTGTCTTGTCTTTTTTTTTTTGTTCTAAGAAATGGTTTTCCATGTGCATCTTGGAACTTTTGACAGGAAAAAATCAACCCAGGGCTGCAGCCCTCCTTGCTTTGTTGTATAACTGAGGGGATTTGATCCCTGCCTGTCTGCTCCTGGTTTGCTTCCCAGCCCCTTTCCATGGATGCAATTCCTCAAGAAGCTGGGATTGTTAATAAAGCCAAACCACAGCAATATTTCTCATAACTGCTCCGTCCCTCTGATGCCAAAAGCTCTCCAAAGTTCAATTCCATCTTGAAATAGTTCAGGGCAAGGTAAGTCAGTGTTACAATCCCATTTTGCTGTTAACCAGAGGCACAGCAGTGTGCTAAGGATTGTCCCAGGCCATAAAAACAGCAGGAAAAAGAGGAAAAAAAAAAAAAAAAAGAGAGAAAAAAACAGCAGGAAAAAGAGAGCCAAACCCCTGATTCCTGATCCATCCCAGTGGACAACATTCTTTCCCAGAATGACTAAAAATATTGGGATCTTCTGTGAAATCCAGTGGGATGCCTCATGTTTGAGGTGAAACAACCAGCCCAGCACGGGAAACTGTAAAAGGGGATATAATATCCCAACTTCCTGAGCTCTGCTCCCATAAACAGCTTCACAACTTGTTTCCCACACTGGATTTTGGGGGCAGACAAGAAGTGACACGTGTTTGTACATGGTCCTGTTTTCCCTCTCTCTGGCTGCACTCCTGCACACCCATACATGACCAGAATACAAAATCCGTGTGCATAAATATCCATGTGCATATCAAAGGTATTAAAATGAGAAGGGACTTTGATGTTGGACTCGAAAAAACGCTCCTGACACCACGCAGAGCTGTGGGAATGAGCTGCCTGCTCAGAAATCCAAGGATTTTGGAGGACAGACCTTTCCCTCAAGGTGCTTCTTCCCACCCATCACCTGTTGAGGAAAATGAATTTTCCATGGTTAGGCCTTGATGTCTCTTCCTGTGTCCCAATATCACCACGACACCCCAGAATAATTAGAATTTTGGTAATTAGAGACATAACGAGGATTGGTGCCTTCAGTACCAAACCAATGCTCTCACAAATGACCCTTAAAGCAAAATAAATCAAAAAGAAGAAGCAAATTAACAACTCCCTGCACTCATTTGTTTAGGATGACAGATCAACAAACACAGGCACCTTATTTATTTATTTTTCTTTTTCACAAGCAGCTTTTTATATCTTCTGACCCAAAATAAGCCCAGCCCCAGCTGTGGTGCCATGTCAAACAGTAATTACTCTATAAAAGGCTGACCAAAGGGGGATACTGGTGGGTCAGAGGCATGGAATTATTTTAGGATTTACACAAACTTTCTCTGGGAGTGGTGAGAGGAGCTGTGGGCACAGTGGTGCACCTAAGAAATGAGCAAACACCAGGGTTTTTTTTTTCCTGCTTGTTCCAAGCCTCACCACCTGACATGAAATGATTTTCCCAAATTTCAGCTCAGGCGAAAAATAATAAAAATAAAAATAAAATAAAAATAAAAATAAAAATAAAAATAAAAATAAAAATAAAAATAAAAATAAAAATAAAAATATAATAAAAATAAAAATATAATAATAATAATAATAATAATAATAATAATAATAATAGTAATAAGTAGAAGTGAGATTTTTTTTACTCCTCCATAAAAGAAGCTTTTCTCTGTGAAAGGTTTGGAGATTTTCCCCCCAGGAATTCCTGCTGAACCACACCAAAACGTGTGGCAGAACAGCAGCAAGACCCTTGGAATATTTCATTATCCTGGGAGGGAATAAAAAAATAATTTAAAAATAATAAATCAAGCCTCCTAGAATTCCCAGAATGAACTGGAGGAGACCTCAAAGCTCATCCAGCTCCATGGGCAGGGACACCTCCACTAGCCCAGGTTGTTCAGAATTCCATCCAGCTCAAGGATGCACCTGCACTCCTGATTTTTTGGCAATATTTTGACAATATTTAAGCTCCCTGAATCCCTCCTGCTGAGCCTGAAGGAGCAGGAGCCCCTAAATCCCAACTCCCTCATCCTCTCAAACCTTCAGGAACACAACCCCTGTCCCCTGGGGTGAGTGGGAGGAGGATGGGCAATCCCTGAGGGAAATCCTAGAGAGGTTCAGAGTTTGAGAGTGGCAGTGAACCCTGCAGGAATTAGTGGAACTTTTCCAGCTTCCAAAATATCCCTCCTCCTCCTGCCACGGCGAAAAAGGGAAAGTGGTTCAGCAAGAAGGAGAAGAGCAAATTCAAAATAGAATCAGGAGGGATTAAAGCAAATACCCAGACTGGGCTAAGCTGTGTTTACTGCCCAGATCCTGTGGCAATTCCTGGTGTTTTCAGGGGGTTCTTGCTGTGTTGGAACTTTGGGATTAAATTTGGCCCGTGCCACTCATCTGACTGCAGGTCAGGGAGATGCTTCTCAAAGCCATCCTCCAATCTCAGAGCCCAAGGCACCCAAATGCACATGGAATTTTTGCTGGAAGGGCTGGGAGAAAACGGCAGCGTCTGCCTGACGTGAAATTCCCATCCCTAATTAGGGATTTCAAAAATAAATCCAGTTTTCCGAGCAGGATGGTGGGTGTCAAATAAAATAAAGGGAGGTTTTAATGATCTCAGTGAGAGTCAAGTCTGTTTTCCACTTAAATGTGTGTTTTTGCACCCGGGAATTTCATAGAATCGTGGAATTATTTGGGTTGGAAGGGTCTTTAAAGAAGTTTCAAGTTTAAAATTTGTGGCAGCAATGGGTTTGTGTGATACATCACAGTACAAACATTATACAAAGAAAATCCGAGTTTAAAAGTTCCTGAGCTCTTAATTCTCACTTCAATTCCCAAGTGGCACAAGGAACAAAAGGCTCATCCCCCCAGGTGAGAGGATGGAACATCTCACCTGCAAACAGCTCCTCCTCAGCCTCTTGGCCAGTGGGAAGGAGCAGCTGGATTTGGGATTTGGGGTGGCAGATTTTCTGTGTGCTTCTCCAAAGACATTCACCAGCACTGGCAGCCCCTGGAAAAGAAGGGAATTCAGGGTGGAATTAGAAATGATCTCCAGATTTTCCTCAGCTGCTGAGTGCTGGAGAGCCCAGCTCTGGTCATGTGCTGAAAATGGCCTCAATGTGAATATTTTCCTTAGTTTCTCCCTCTTTGGATATCCCTGATTCTGAAACCTTCCTCTGAATATAATCCAGGTATCAAAACACAGAAATTGCAGGATAATTAAAGAAAACCATGGAAAACAAATCCACATACCCTGTGTTCCACGGAGTGCCTTTAAAACGCTGGGGTTTATTCCTTCTCCCTCAATCTGCCACCAGCACTCGGCTACATGGGAGAAAAGGGATTGAAATTAAATTCAATTCCATTAAATATGGTGTCTAGTTCATGATTAACACCTCCTAAACGGTGCTGTACCTCTCACTTTGTGCCCTAACCCAGACTGTAGGGATTATAAAGATCTGGCAGCAGGCTCAGAGCTGGCCTAAGTTCTGAATTAAAACCTAAGCCATAAAAACAGTGATCAAACCCCCAAATTCTGTACCAGTCACCCCAGCCCCAAACGCAGCTCGGTGCAGACTTTAAACGTGAGAGATGTGACAGATGGCTGCTCCTGCAGCACCTCTGTACAAATATTGTACTGTGCAAATATTCATCAGCTCATTCCTGCCACAACCGTGTCAGGTAAGATCATTAACACCACCCCTAATTTCCCTGATAAGTAGGCTGAGACAGGAGGGTGGAGAGCATTGTCTAAACTGAAGCAGTGAGTAACAAAGAGAACTCTGAGCCATCCTCCCTTCTCACAGTCCATGCAGGGTTGGCTTTTTTTTTTTCTTTTTTTTTTGTTTAATTCAAAAAAATGAAATCTTTGGGACAGTTTGACCCCGTGCCAGCTGAAGTTTGATGGCACAAAAAAAGCAAACAAACAATGGATTTCAGCTCACACCAGAACCAAGGAAGCACTGATGTTCCACTAAAATGGGGCTTAGCTTAAGTATCCATTTTTAACTCTCAGCTGAAGTGAAAACATTAATTCATGCAAATCAATGTTCCCTAAACAATAATTTTCCTCTAGAACATTTCTTCTTTTTTAACATAAACTCTTATCTAACAGAACCCGTTTAAAGGATTATATCTGCAGAGTTCAGCAATTAGCTCTGTAAATTGTTTTCCTTGAGTGTAGGGAAGGTTCCATTACACAGTGAAATATAAAGTGTATACTATAGACCATGAAAACCTCTCTTGGAACGATGATTATCCTTCAAAAAGGCTGGAATGAGGGCCAGATTACCAGAAAGAACTCAAGTTCTATTTGTACACCCAAATTCTCCCTTTATTTCATGCAAGTATCCACTTTCAGCCCATCTCCAGGGGTACTGAAAGATAATTGTTTCTATGGAACACCCACAGGTCGAGTTTTATCTAAAACACAGCCCTAAAAATCCACTCTGAGGGATGAACAAGCAAATAGGAAAGGGATGCACAGAAACAGGGGAGGGATGTGCATCAAACAGCCAAAACAAGGTGGGAAATGGCACTGAGGGCACTTCAGATGGTGCTGGAAGTGAGGATGAGGATGGAGGGGCTGCAAATCCAGAAAATCTCAGGGGAGTCGCAGAGGTTTGGAGAACAGAAGTGCAGGGGGTGTAAAAGATGGATGGAGGTCACCTGAACCATCACTCAAATCGTGGCTTAACTAGAAATGGAATCTGCTGGTGTCCACACCAGCTCTGAAGGTCCTTAGGGTCACAGATGCCACAGCCTCACTGAGCTGCAGCACTCTCCCAGCTCTGGGGCTCCTCCTCTCCTTAAATCCAACCACAATTTCTCCTGGATGACAGAAGGGTTTTATCCTGTGGTTTGAAGGCAGCTTCATTCCATCAGGTCACTCCCAGGTGACAGCACCATGACACCCTCCCCACTCTGCTCCTGAGCCACAAGATCCTCCTTGGCACAAAACACAACCCCTCCTCCTTGTGTTCCATGGATGCCTCTGCCAAAGAGTTGTATCCATCCACCATCCACCCATGGATCCATCCATCCATCCATCCATGGCAGCCATCCAGATGTGTGAACACCCTTCCAGCAAACCCTGATTAAAGTCCTTAATCCTGAATCACCAACGAAATCCAAGTCCTGAGACACACACGAGGTGGTGCCAGGCACACAGAGAAGCCAAACTGCCCAGAAGAAAATACAAGAACCCAAATTCCTCATTCTTTCTGTTACCTGTGACACCAAACATCTTTTGGTGAGGCCCCAGAGGATGAAGAGTGAAGAAAAACTCCTCACACAGATCAGTCCCAAGGGGTCTCAGCTCAGCTGATCACATTTGGTGACCCCCAGAGCTTCCACCATTTCCACCAGTGACTTACACAGTCAGCTGAAAGCCAGCTCAGAGCAGCTACAAAATACAACCCTGATTTATTCCAAAAACATTCTCTTTAACGCTGTCACTTCTCTTTTCCATGCCAACATGCACACGCTCAGGAGACAGACACATTTCCATGCTCTCAGCTGGGAATCGTGTTCCTGCAAGGCTGGTGGATGATGCACAAACTGTCTCTATTTGTGTCCCCCCTTTCAGATGGCAGGGTGCCCACCAAACAAGCTGATTAGCACTTGCCCTGGGCTATCAAGGCAAGGCAATGGTATGTTTAGATCAGCAAACTGCATAACAATATAAATGTCATCTATTCCACAAGAAGCTTTGGCAGGATTTTGCATCTTGTTCTTCATGTGCCAAAAAGAAACACGAAGACTTGCAGGAGGAAAGGCAGGAACGGGTTTGCCACCCCTTCCTGGTTGCCAAAACACGTTGTGCAGCACGGGGTGTCTCGTTATCATACCCCAGGACCACCCCAAGGTGTCAAATTATCCATGAACACCCCTGGTATGGATATAAATACATAAGAGAGATCCTTTTTCTGTTCAGGCAGCCTCACACACAGAAATGAGGCACAACCAGCGTGTCTGGCACAGCTCAGGACATGATCTGTACCCCTGCCCAGAAAGGATGGCACCAGCCCAAGGAGAAGAGCCCTGGGTGGGCACTGCCTGGGCAACATCTCTGCTGCCAGGGCAAGGCTGCAACAATGCCCAGCAGATCCAGCAGAGAATGGGCTGGGGACACTGGGGTTGGGACATTGCAGATCCAGTGAATAATGGGCTGGGGACACTGGGGTTGGGACATTGCAGATCCAGTGAATAATGGGCTGGGGACACTGGGATGGGGACACTGCAGCTTCATTCTCCAGAAGATAATGGGCTGGGGACACTGGGGTTGGGACACTGCAGATCCAGTGAATAATGGGCTGGGGACACTGGGATTGGGACACTGCAGATCCAGTGGACAATGGGCACAGGACACTGGGATTGGGACACTGCTGGCCTGGCACTCTTTAGGATCTGATTCCTACTGGAGACCTGTGTGACACGGAATGAAGGGCTGGGAGCAGCTCCTGGTGAGGGAATGTCACCATTCCCACAGGGAGCATCCAGCCCTGTGGGCTTAGGGAAGGAACAGAAGGGATAAAAGGCTGATCCATGGTTCACAGTCAGCCAGGGGACTTCCAGGACATGGCTGGGGACAACCAGGAGGGTTCAGAAATTTTATGTGGACAAGTGGTACTTAAATCCCTTAAATCCTCAGCAGGAACCAGGAATGGCCCGGGTTGGAAGGGACCTTAATGGTGATCCTGTTCCACTCCCCTGACTTGGCCAGGGACACCTCCCATAGCCCAGGGTGCTCAGAGCTCCACCCAGCCTGGCCTTGGACACTCCCAGGGATGGGACAGAGAAAAAGTGCAGGAAAAGTTGCACCAAAAGAGAGAAGAAAGTAGGAAAGAATAACCAGAAAACCATCCTGGCATGGTGTGCTCAGGGGAGCATCAAACCCAGACACAGAAACTGCACTGTGAGTTCACACCTGAACAGGACACCGTGACAAATCCTGCAGTTTTTATGGATTTCACAGGTCTTTCTCTCCAGTTTATGTTCTGTTCCCACACCAAGAACATGTTACAGGTAAATTTTCTGTGCCAATTAATGCCAGAGGGTGAAGCAGAGCTCTCAGCAATCTTCCAACATTTTCCTCCTATAGCAAAGCCAAGAGTTTTCAGCACAGTTTCTATAAATTCACAACAAAATCCTTTATCCTAGCCACTTATTAATGACTATTATTTGCTAGATTGAAATTTGATCTTCACAGCAGACACTCAAAGGCCTTGAATGAACTCTTCCAACCCATTTCTGAGCAAGGTTCCTTCTCTGAGATGCTCCTCACTGCTCTGTACAGCCCCACTGCATCTCCATGTCTCGATTCAAATCTTGGGTCAATGCTGGAACCACACACAGAAAAACTCCAGAGGGCCTCTCCTAAGGAGATTATGCAAAATGTCACTTAGCATAAGTTCCTATTTGAAAATTGAGGGTTTTTTTTTAATTCTTAGTAATGCTAATGAAAAATCAGAAAAGGTATTTTGTATTTCTGATATTAAAGAGAAACTCTGAACTTTTTCTTAGTCATATTCTTCTGCTATTGCATGTTCCTCATAAATTCATATTTACAATACCTTCTGTTACCAATTTCTTTTATTTCTGAGAACAGAAATGGCTCTGAAGTGCTTTTGTTTGCTTAGCAATATCCAGATGCATTAAACTTCTCTTACATAAGAGGATTTGTACTTTACATTAAAGTTTTCAGGGGAGAGATATTTAAAAGATTATGAAATATGCTTGCAAAAAGAATTAAAAAAAAAAAAAAGAAAAAAGGAAGAAAGAAGAATGTTGGAACATATCCATCAATATTTCAGTATAAATTGTTGAAGCACCAGAATTACACAGTGCAATTATCTCACAGAATGTATAGCTCCTAGCACTGATCTTTATGTTCAACAGAAAAAAATGGTTTAATACATCACAAATGAATGTTCATTAAGTTGTTGGGGAGAATTCTGTCATAATTGAATAATGAAATGTCTGCACCTTGAGCATCTGCTGAAAAACTCTCTGCTGCTCTGGCTGGATCCAGCACAAGGGGTCTTTCATGGGATATTTCTGCCAACACCAAGCTTTGTATAAAGTCCGATTTTTTTTTTTTTTTTTTGATTAATGACCACAGATCTGAGTTGGATTCTCCCCGTGGGCAGTTCAGAATATTGAACAAGTCAGTGACACTTTTGATCCTTCCAGCTCTGGATATTCCAGGACACCTCAGATGAGCTGGACAACTCCAAGAAAATATTGTGTAAAAAGGCTTGGATTTCTCCCAAGTTTGGGGTTTTTTTTTAAATAAAGTGGTGACAATTGTATTAATATGTCAC